TATATATATATATATATGTATGTGTGTGTGTGTATGTATGTAAATATATCTTAGCACAGGCAAGTTTTCATGTTCCTTGAAAATTAAAAAAAATTACACCATTAGTTTACACCATAGTTTAGAAAGATGAAGACACTTATGATTTCACATTATGATTTCTGAAAACAAAGTGTTATACAGAATCATGTGAAGATAATATTCGAAAGTATACAAAAAAGGGGCATTATAAACAGGAGCAATATCACTAAATACTCAGCTTTCCAAGGTGACCATTTATAAAGGGACAGCATTTTTTCAGAATATAGGTTTCTGACATAAGATTTCTAAAATACAATTCTACACTTACAGCTTAGTGACTTTTTTCAACAATTGAAGGTGACATTTAAATTAAGTTGGCATCCATCCAGAGCAAAGAAGCATGAAGAAAATCAAAGACACAAGGTAACAATTAGTCTAAAGGACTATTGGACCATGAGAACACCAGCCTCCACAAACCTGAGACCAGAATTAGATGGTACCTGGCTGCCATTGTTGACCTCTCAGAAAGGTAACACACCAGGAAGTCCTGGGTAGAATGGGAGAAAAATGTGTAACAAAATTCAAAATCATTAAAAAGACCAGTCTTACTGGTTTGATAGAGACTGGTGGAACCCCTGAGATTATGGCCCTTAGACACCCTTGAGGCCTGAAACTGAACTCACTTCCATGGCTCAACTTTCAGCCAAACAACAGACTGGCCTATAAGGTGAACAATAACATCACGGAGGTATGCACTCCTTAGAACAACCATGCAAGATTAAAAAGGCAGCATTGCAGGGATAAAGCTGAGAAGGCAGGAAGTGATAGGAAAGGACAAATGGAAATGGTAAACAAAGGGAGAAAGTGGGAAGAGTGCGGTTATATTGCGGGTATTGCAATCAATGTCACAAAACAAATGTGTATGAATTGTTGAATGGAAAACCAATTTACTATGTGAACTTCCTCCCAAATCTCAATAAAAAGAAAAAATATTAAGTTTGCAACATTTGGGAGAGACAAGCAAATTCTAAGAGCTGGAAAAACGAACATTTATTGATTTTGAATGTTTGGTAGATGTTAGGCAACAAAGAAGTTTTGTACTTCTTCATAGAATCAATCACAATGTAGTAAGTGGGATGTATGTTTGTCTCTCTCACTAGATACATGTTAATCTCTTGTAGGCAGTAATTATGTTTTATTATACAGCAAGCAGCATCCATCAAACATCCAATATCTATCAGGTGACTCCAAAGTGAAGGCAGTACATTTACAATCTGGTCAGCAGAACAGGTATATAAAAATAGTAAAGAATATCCTTCACTGTGTAAAAATTTTAGATGAGTAATAATGAAAAAAATCTATCACACTGTACTGTACATAAGCTGATATCTTTAAGATGTTGACTTTTCAAAAATTCAACTGCATTCCAAAATCTTAAAAATTAACTATCAAGTACTATGTTTAACTGGATGGTTTTTGAACTTTTAAGCAACGTAAAAAGTGATTAGAAAAAGGTACCAATTTCTTTATAACTGCACCCTCTAGTGGTTTGTTTAATCTGTTTAAAAAAGACAGACACACATACCAGTCTCATTACTTAGAGAACACTTGTCCAGCATGTCTGCCCCCACTCTCCCCTTTTTCTGTCTTCTCATTTTCTCTCCCCCATCTACTTACACACATACATACGCACCAGTTGCTGTTGAGTCAACTCTGACTCATGGAGACCCCATGTGCATGAGAGTAGACTGTGCTCCATGGAGCTAACAATGGTTGATTTTTTCAGCAGACAGCCAGGCCTTTCTTCTGAGGCACCTCTGGGTGGACCCACACCTTCACCTTTTCAGTTAGCAGCTGACTGCTTAAACATTTGTGCCACTCAGAGACTCTCTATCTATATATAGTTGTGTGGAAATGGTTTAAAACACAGATATAACAGAACTGGATAAAAAAATTATCATAAAATATTTAAAAATACAACAGACTGTAATATAGTTCCATGAAATTCTCATACATAGAAAGCAGAATGGTAGGCCTCTAAGGTACAAAAGGCCATTTTACAGTCAAATGGCCATCGCCTTCCACTCCTTTTCTCAGGTTACATTCTTAGTGAAGACTTTCCTTGCAAAGACTTTGTTGCAAGGTCAGCTCTCTCTTTTAGTAGGTTGGCTTCCTCAGCACTTTTGTGGGCCTGTGCATTCTTCAGTAAGAAGTGGCTAATAAAAAGCTTCAAACCTTCCCTTAACATCCCCAACTTTGGGTTGTCAGATACTCTGAAAAGGAATGGTATAAACACGTATATCAGTGACAAATTAATTTCTTATATCAAAAGTGTAGGTGTCTTGAATAGTTAGATATAACCTTTCTTTCTTTTAAAAATAAAATTTGCAAGGAAGAACTTCTTAATACATTCTATTTGTTACAAATTGTTAATTTGATATTAGCACATTTATGTTCCTCAAATTTAATGCATATTAACTTAAAACTGAAATTGGAAAATGAAAATTAATCTACACATAAAATGTACAATAAATTGCTTTTATAAATCAACATAAATAAAATAAATTTCTTTTCCATGTATCTTTATCAGCTAAGAACATACCTTCCAAAAATTAAAACAAGGTCTTCAACCTCTGTTTCCATTAACAGCATATATAACACTTTCCGTAAAAAGTGGACTCTGGGTTTGTCCAATTCGCTGAATTCAATTACCTAATAGAGTTAGGATGCAGAGAAAAATACAGATACATTGATTTAGTCAACTTTTCCAATTCCAATGATTTCTAAATACGGTCAGTTGGAGTAAAAAAATTAATCCCCTCCAAGATTTAAGAAGTTACTTTTAGTTTTTTAAAAACAAAGTTGTTGCAAGGATATGCAGCTATGGGAACTCTCACCCACTACTGGTTTGGAAAGCAACCGGCAGTATTAAGTTTATTTTTTCCAACAGATAATGAACTGGGAAGCTTATACTTCTTGTAACACCAGGTGTACTTTAATCAGAAATAAAACTTGTAAATACATGTACTTGGAAGGGAAAATGAATTGAAACATATATTATCTTCATCTCCAAAAGATTCTATTCCCTAATTAAAACCTATATATACGTGGGATATGTTGCAGTGGCTCCAGACTCACAGAAACATGGATCTTTGTAAAAGAAAGAAGGAAGGGGCCTGGGAAGTCAAACTCTGGATTCTTATATGGTTACTTTGGTTGGTGTTACCTATTAAAGGAAGGAGCTCTGGTAGTGTAGTGCCTAAGGCACTTGACTGCTAACCAGAAGGCTGGCGGTTCAAACCCACCAGCCACTCCTC